AGTTTATTTGAAATTACTTTATGTTCAAACACCAAAGAACAAAGGAAACCAAGATTTGGCTACTCTCAAGTCTGGGCTCACAGTTTCTAGGCCAAAAGAGTTCAGGTAAGAAGAGAAACTTATCTCCCTAAAACAATTCTCAATTAAAGGAATGTGTAAAAAAAAAAAATCTGTACGTAAGATTTCCTAAAGAGAAAGTAAACCATTGGAGTTACTTCTCTATTACACATGAAGACAAAGCAGGAATCCATCCATCCATCCATCTATCTATCTATCTATCTATCTATCTATCTATCCCTTATCATAGGAATGAAAAGCAGAAATAGCTATGAATCAAATGATGTTTCTCACTTAAAGGGTTTTATTTATGCTTTTAAAGGGAAGGGTTTTATTTTACTAAGAAATGTAAGTTATATCTATAGATATGTCTATGACTATATACAACACATACAAATAAGGGAAGTCATTTTTATTTTGTTCAGATCTTTTAGAAATACCTGTAACTACAGCCATATACATACAAACACATACCCTGCACTAGGACTTTTGGGACACCCTGCATATTTATGAAGAAATGTGCATATTCACATATATAAGCCGAAGTGCCTAACTGGCACTATAAATTAATGGAATATTTAATAGACACAATAATTTTTAAAAGTAAAATAAGAAATCATTTGAAAATCCTCATATTAGGGACAGAATATTTTACCTTAAATTTTACTGGATAATTATTAGATCGTTCTGCCTAGAAAAAGCATGCAGCTTCAATCAAAATTAGGATAACAAAATGAGAAGTAAATTTGACAAATTAAACAAAAACAAAAATAAATCAAATATATGCAAGATTGTTGAAATGAACTTCTATTTCTCAAATTTCCTCCAAGACTGACCTCTAAGAATCAATATAATACAATAAATGTCTGTTTTTATCAAATACAAACACTTGCCCATTTTATGGAAAGATAACAAAATACTTAATAGACACCATAGTTTGTAGTACAAGCACTATAAAAATGTTTGACTTTCAAAAGTTTTAAAAATGACAGACATTTCAGCACACTAATATTTAAATTAAAAATCAAACAATTAAATGATTTATTATAATGTAATACACCATCTTGTGGTTACTTAGAAGGAATGCAGTTCATGTTCTCAAAAATTTCAACATCCACACATTTCAATCATATTTCAATCTTTTTAACCTCACCTCATAAACACTTTTGAAGTCTTAGAGTACTCTAAATTTTTATACAATTGGAAAATATAAAAATAATATATTTTTATTTCACCTACCATTTTACAATATATGAGCTATTAGATTCACCTGATTTGTTTCCACTTTGAATTAATAAATAATATGAAATAATCATCAGACCAATGAAAAAAAGTGTTAATTATGAACACAGCTACAGCATTAATTCACAGTATAAATGAAACTAGGATGTGAGATTGCAGCTTTTGAGTATGTATTGACTTCTGCTTATAAATTTAGAAAATAAATACAAAAACCTGATTTTGTTGCAGCTACAATTTGGGATGTTACTGATAAGCAAGTATTGATAAGTTGAAAGTAAAGTAATTAGGTAGGCAGACATAAGATATAATATAAGTTTTTTGAGGACTCAAGCTGCATATTATACATCTCTGTACATCCCAGTTATGCGGTATATATTAATCACTCAATAAATATTTGCTGTATGAATTAATGAAGCAATGAGCACATGTTTGTTGAATACCCATGAACATTTTAGTCATATATGGAATGCAAGTGATATAAGTTAAATGCAATTTTTAATATTATAAATGAGCTTTTTTTGTTAATTCTAGTTTCATGCATATTCTTTACAGAAGTCCAAGAGTGTTTTTATAGTGTTTTAATAAATCTAGTAAGATGCAAACAAGCAGCCAAGTACAATATAATAAAATAATAGTTTCTCAAAAAAACCAATAAATAACGAATGTCAAGAAGCTAATGTATCATAATAAATAATGTGGTTGATAATTCTTCTATCAGGCTTTTGTTTGTTTTGCTTAGTGTTTTTTATCATTTGTGCTGCACACACTAATAGGGCTAGAAAAAGACAAATCCACTTTTTCAAAATAATGCTTTGTTTTGTTTTTACTTCAACTCTGTAGCTGCACCTTTCTCAGCACCTCTCCCAAAGCCCAGCTAGCAGAGTGCATTACATTTGTTAAGGGCTGTATAATGAGCTATACTTATGGAATAATTTGTTTCCTTTTTTATATTCCTCAATTCTTACTGCATATATACCCTGTATATGTATATTAGGGGAGTTCCCCCCTTTTTGACTGGTTTTTGTATTTGTTCTTACAATAACTTTGACATTTTCCTTCCTCCTCTACCTCCTAAAGGAAGATCTGAGAATGCATCATTTCCAGCTGGAGGCCAGTGTACTTTCCTCTAATCCCTACTGCATCTGCTCAGGACGTCACAAAGAAATGTGCTGAAACAAAATATGTGGAAGGTTTTACCCTTTCAAACCAATTTCTACTATGCAGTCTATCCCTTCCAAAAACATGTTTGCCCTCATATAAAAATAGATGTAATATGTATATTGCTTATTAGGAAACCTTCAGTGAATTTAAAAAAAAAAAAAGAAACATTTTGAAAGGTTTCCTACCTTTACTTTTCCCTAAAATAATTAAATTAGGAAGTTTTTTTTTTGCCAAATTAAAATGTTCTGGTGAAAGCAAAGCAAAGTTTTGTGTGACTGCACTATGTCAAAGTTTATTAATGGGGAAAAACTCATACTGGTTATTTGGTACAGCAGAAAGAAGCAGGTTATTTAAATAGATTAAACATCTTCTTTTGGTTTGTAGATTATACTAAGTGAAATTAGAGTTATACTGCTCATTTTTCAATTATTCTTATCATTGAAGAATATAAGCTACCTTTCAAGGGTATATAGATCATCTAACAAGGGTTAGGAAGAAACTAAACGTAAGAGTTTGTTTAATTTAATTTATGTTTTTAAATGTCCAACTACTTGCCACATTTCTATGTATATAATGTAGATTACAATACAAATCATTAATGGAAAAAATGATGTTGTTTTGGAAATTGAAGAATTACAGAGGTATACAGGCCCTCCAAAGTCATATTGTCCAACCACTTACCTCAAACATGAATCCTATTTTTTTTAAAAGTATTTGCTTATGCTCTTTAGCATAAATGTTAGGTATTAACATTCAGGGATGCCCTTATCATTAAGAAAAAAAAAAGACTACTTTACCCTTAATGACAAGATTACTCAAATGGACAAGGTAAGAGATGTTTCCACCTTATGCACATAGAGCTTAACATATTTTTTAAAGGGCATAGAGTTGAATTTAAAACAAAGTTCATTAAGGTAAAATCTATACCTAGATATTATGGCTATAATTATACATCAATATAACCAGCTAATTAAGTCAAAACCACGAAAATAATTGGCTGAATTATTCATTTTTCAATAGGTTGTTCTGGTGTCAAAAACTACCATAATATACATACATATATACATACATACATATATATATATATAATAAAACTTATCAAAATTATGTTTATTTTAAAACCAAAGATATTGAGTTATTTAGATCATTAAAATGAAAATACAGTGGACCTATTTTAAAAAATATAGGCCCAGGGACAATAAGTAATTGTGATATTTCTGAATTATTTAAAAGAAATGAAAATGCTTTTTTAGCAACAAATGAAAAAAAAGTCACTTGAAAAGTACAAAGGTTCCAAAAGGTTGACAGAATTTAGTTGCTCTGCAGTAATGAAGGGTAATATTCAGATCCTACTTATCTACTTTATATTCACCAACATAATTCCATAAAGCTTTCCAAATATTAAAGGAATTTGTGACCTCACTCTGCCTCAATATTTGACAGCTAAGCCTTTTAAAAGCAATATTAAGCCTTATTTTAAGCAGTATTACCAAAAAGAACTATTTATAGATAAAGACATGAATCAATATAAATCCTGAAGGATTAAAATAGCTTTAAAAAAAAAAAAGGAAGTAATGTTGATTTCCTGAACAATTTCTTTCTTTATTAAAAAAAAATCTTCCAATATCTGAATAGGAACCAATTCTCTATGTGGAAAGTTCCCAAGGATTACTATTCATGTGTATATGAAGAAATATAGCACCGTAAATTGAGGGACTGACAGGTCACAAACTTTTCAAGGATGCAAAGACAGTTGAAAAGATACATTTTTGTTCCATTGATTGAGGAAAGCTTATGTAAAATATATCATGTTCAATGTATTAAAGTTCAACAAATATTCATGTTTTAATGTTTTTCTTTAGCTTTTACAGGTACATATCCATGTATCAATGCAAAACTCTATATCAGTTGTCAGTTCTCCAAGGAAATAAGGAACCTAGAAATGATTATATGAGCAAAGCAGAACAAAGAAATATTCATGTTTCAGAAATCTATGAAAGTTACAGAAGATTAAATCATAATCAGCAGTAGATCCACAGCAACAGTATTGATTTTATCCTTTAGAAATGCAACCAAAGCAATTTTTTCAAATGAAAATAGTTGGAATGCAATCTTTTTCACAGACATTTCTAAGTTTTCTGACTCTACATTGATAGTCAGTTTTGCATCTTAATACCACATTGATTTGTAGAAGAGTAATTTGTTTCCCATATTACAGTTTCAAGTGTCTTCCTCTTCCATTAAATTAACTGCAGTGAACTTCCAGCAGTAAAAAGCTCTCTTTTTTCAGGCTTGAATAAGAGGAGAAATAGTCACTTGTCCTGAAAGCTGGCTACAATTAAACACATTAAAAAGAAATTAAAAATTGCAAAAGGTGATGCCTCACATCCTTTGTTGTGAACCTTTGTCACATAAGTAACATTAGACAAGACTATGAGCAGCCAAGGGACTGGGCAAATTTTTTGGCTGGTGAAATCATGAAGCATGGATTCCTTAAAACACACAATAGTGGGCTGAAGTGGTGAAAGAACAATATTTACCTTTTCCAGTTGAGCGTTTTTTTTGGATTTGTATAGGAACTCTCCAACTGCCACAAAAACTGAAAGCACCAAGCCTGCTGCTAAAACAATGAAGATGCCACCAATATTCTGGACTCCCAGAGCACTGGCTTCTTTACTCTCTTCCTCTGGACAGCCATTACCACGCCACCATTTTTCTTTCATCATATGAAGCTTGCCTTCTTCTTGGAGTTGAAGAATTGCTATGGTGATCTTATCTCGATATGGAGAACCTATAACATAGGAGAGTGTGTTAAAAAAAAAAGGGAAAAAATCCTTTTAATTATTTCTTACCCATAGAATTTCATAAGGAAAGGTTATATTGGGAGATACTATTGTCTTTCTACTTAATAATGTTACTACCTACTCAACTGTACATTTCCGTGATCAGAAAATATGGACTTATTTTTGATTCTTCCTTTTTTTTTTAGCTGTTATATCCAATTAGTGACCAAATCTCACCAATTCCACATCCAGGATAACTCTTAAATATGTTCTTCTCCTCTATAGTTCCACTTTAATCCCCTCAGCATTAGCCCTTATGACCACCGAGTTGAACTATTAAAAATATCCTAACAGGCCTTTCTACTTCCCTCTAATTAATTCTATATACTAATGCCAGATTAATTTTCTTTATATATGCATGTATGTATGTGTATACATATATATCTTGTGGTGTCATTCTTCCACTCATAAATCTTCAGTAGCTCCCTATTGCCTGCCAAGCAACATTCAATTGTTTTTGCCTGGCCTACAAACCCCGTGCAATATGCTAACACTTTGTTCGGACTCATCTCGTGTTACACTACTCTATATTTTTTGCTTCAAGAAAAGAAAACTATTGCTGGCCCTTGAACATGTTCTGTGATTCCTGGCTTCTATCTTTGTCACACTAATACTTATAACTAGAAAGTTATCCTTTCCCTACTTCTGATTTTTAAATCTTGCACATGCTTTATTAACATCCAACTCAAAAGTCACTCACTTTAGAAAACCTTTTTTTCCCCTACTGATGGTTTGCAATCTATTTAAAACTGCAATTATATGATATCATATAGTATTATACGTTTATAGTTAGTGGCATATATGTTTTATCTCCCTACTAGTTGGTAAAATCCATAAGGGCAGACATTTTCTTATTTAAATTTTATATCCTCGCCAGCACCTAACATAAATTCTCTACACAAAGTCAGTGCTTAATTTGAATATTTGTTCAATGAATGAATGAATGAACACTTCATGCTCAATTCCATTATATAGGGAAAGACCCTTGATTTTAACCGAAGAAACAATTTCAAGTTCCATAAGTCAATCTAAAGTCTCCCACAAAGAAAGAAGCAATGGAAACTCAGAACTTGAGTTTTCTGTTTGTGATTCATGGAAACCAAGGTTAGCTATGAAGAAATCATCAGAGCTTTTGTTTATTACTACATACTAAAGAGTAGAAGCAATTGAATGATAACAATGCATATCCATTATATATGAACTGTTGAATGTCTTTAAATAACATAGACTATTACGTGCTTCTTTCTGTTACCCTGAACAAGTTACTTAAACCTGTTTATATAAGCTTCCTCATCTGTAAAAGGAGCTAGAGAAGGAAATGGCAAATTACTCCAGTATCTTTGCCAAGAAAACCCCAAATGAGGTCACAAAGAGTTAGACATGACTAAAAATAACTCAACAATAACAACAATCACAAGCTTCTTTCATGTTATTCAAGGTCGTGGAAGCTCTCATGGCCTACAGAAAAGTAAAACCCAATGTTACAAACTATTTCCAGCCAGTAATATCTTTACAGCAAACTGGTCATAAGATTGAGTTCTTACCAGGAAGGAAATGTGTTTTCTTCTTAAATTTTAATTGCATTTTTTGAGGGTGAAAGAGACAGAGAGGTATAATGGAAAATAAACTGTACTTGGAATCAGAGCACCTGGATTCAAATCCAGGCTCTGCTACATACTGTAGGTATGACTGAGTAAGTCACTTATCTGCTCTGGGCCTTGTTTCCTTGTTAGGTTAGACTAGATAGCTTCCAAGATCCCTTCTGGTTCTAAATCTGTTTTCTTATGATTCTACAAATATTTACAATTCAATGTGCTGACATGTGGCATGTGGTCACCAGAAGCAAAAAAATACTATGGAATATCAGAAAAGTTTTCTCTCCAGTTGTCAAGAAGGCTGAAGAAAGTGGAAATAAAGTTGCATATTTCTTGCCCCATGTGGCTCATCTGTACTTCTTCAGGTATATTTCTCCCCCCTTATTTTCTCCACAAGTCAGTGCCAGTCAACAAGTATACTGAAGACATGGACAATTTTTAAAATTGTACATGTAAAACTGATGTAGAAAACATGACAGTTTTATTAGTGCTACTGCTGAAAATCTTGCTGCTTTGTCCTAGCTGCAGTAAGACAAATTCAGATGTGAGTGTTTCTTTGTCAAGAATACCAGCTCTGTGGGAGGAACTCAGAAGAAACACAGGAGACCAGGAGCAGCTGGGCAAGGTTAGAGGCCTTGAGGCTAACTAGCTCTCCCCTTTCTGTACCCCCAGTCAGAATGCTCCTGTAATTTAATCCTTTATCTGCTCTGAAAAGGGCAAAGAATATTCTACTTAGAAAAGTATGTGCTGGCAGCAACAACTGCTGTTTCATAGGAAAAAAGAGGATTTGTTGTGCATTGGTGGAGTAAAGAATTAGTGAGGGAAATAGATCTTTGAAAATTTTTTTCTTAAAATTTGTGTGTGTGCATATAAGCTATATGAATGCTGTCTACCATTTTCAGAAGAGGGAAGGAGAGAAGGGAGGGAGAAAAATCTGGAACTCAAAATCTTGTAAAAATGAATGCTAAAAATTGTCTTGACATCAACTGGGGAAAATACTATTAAATCTTTTAAAAATGTGTGTGTGAGAGACAGACAGAGAGACAGAGAGACAGAGAGAGACAGAAAGAGACAGAGACAGAGACCACAACTGCATTTATTTGTTTAAGGGAGAAACACATGAAGAGAAAAAGGACATGACCAAATATGATACCACACCACTGTGTGACTAATTTTCCTACAACACTACTTTTTACATGTTATCCTCCTGCTGTATTATGATTTCCCACTGAATAAAGGAGAGTACTGAAGACCCTTCAGTTTTTAGTTTTTTTTACTGCATTAGACGATGGGGATTTAAATGCTGGTTCTATTGACTATAATCCCTATACTAGACATGTTACTTAACTAACCTCTGTGGGCCTGTTTTCTCATCTATGAAATGAAAATGTTGAACTAGAAGACCTCTCAGGTCCACTACAATTCTAGATCTATCAACCCAGTTCTAGCTCTAAATTCTGTGATGCTGCAATGAATAATCTGGCATGCAAACTGATTTTTATCTGTTTTTCAGACCATATCTCACATTTCTCCCCTGAACAAACCCTGTAACTCCAGAACACTTTTCCACCTCCGTTCATACAGTTTTCTTTCTCTAGGCTACCCTCCACCCTCCTTTCTATTTAAGTTCCACCGCTTCTTCTAAGTTCCCCTTTTTCCCTTGTGACTCATAAAAACATAGATTTAGAGCTAGAGTGAACCTTAAAGGTCATTAAGTCCAACCCTCTTATTTTATATATGAGTAAACCAAGGCCCAGAAAAGTGAAGTGACTTGCCGAGGATCACACAGTTAGTATCAGAGGTGGGATTCAAACCCAAATCTTCCTGCTTCCAAGTCCAGGATTCTATCCACTACACTATGCTTTTTCTTGCCTTCTATGATCATTTTGTCCTCTAAATTCTCATAATACTTACAGTCTGTAACAATCATTTGGTGCTTAACTTCAGCTACTTCATAATGATCTAGAAAATATATGACTGAAAAAGGACATGGGCCAGTCATGTAGTAATAGGAAAAGTTGCTGTACCAGTTCCCCCAAAATATTAAAAGAATTAAAGGCTTGTCTTTAGCTTATAGAGGCAGCTATTCTATGGAGGATTAATGGGAACACATGGGAAAGACTAGCACAAGATGAAAGAGTGTGTCTGGATTGTCATCTTCTCTACTAGTGGGAGGGCCCACGTGAATGATATCACAGATCCATTAAAGCAGCCGGCACTCTCCTATTCATATAACTATTGATTAATTTCTGTGTACATTGTGACATTCTATTCAACTAAATGGCAAGCTTCTTAATACCATGGGCTATCTCTTATATAATCTTTATATCACAAATATTTAGTAGGTATTAATTATAAATAAATATTGGCTGAATAACATCCTAATTCACTGACAAATGATACACGTTTTTATCACATTAGCATGCTTCTATTATTCTATTACAGGACATCCCTTTATGAGATTATAGATTTTGAGTGGGAAGGAAATTTACAAGTTGCTTAATCCAATCCACTCCCTTTACAAATAAGGAAACCATAGCCCTGTTTCACTGGTAAACATATGGGTAACACCACTTGTTGGGCAGGAGAACACAGAACGGCTCCTAACACTAAAAGGTGCTTCTAGCACAGGCTCACTTTTGATCCAGTCAGACAGTAAGTCAGCTTCAGAGGGGTTAAATAAGATTACTTTATTCTAGTCTATTATTTTCAAAAGGAGTTTGCTGAAATGGGAGTATCAACTCCTACCATATTCCCTAATGACACTTCTCGCAGGGGCAGGGGAGAATAGGAGTACAACTCCTTCAAGATCCCCTAAGCCTTGATGGGGGCCAATCAAGGCAGCTACATGCATTCCTCTATGCATTACTCAAATCCCAAAATGGGTTCCCTACTCACTGACCAGTGCCCACTTGCTTTATAGGGCAAAAGACAAAGAAGGCATCTTGCCAACATTAAGCTCACAGGTTAACTCTAGCAATATTATCATGACTTAGCACACAGCAGGCATACGTTATGTCATTCCTATATCTCATTGCACAAGCGTGGTAGAGATGTTTTCAACCATAATTCACGGGAAATATTATCTAGGATCCTGGAACTATTATGTAAAAAGGAACTATTATGTACACACTAAAATTCACCTTACTTTCAAGCTCAAAGAGGTTAAATGATTCACCCAAAGTTACATGAGGTAGTATGAGACAAAGCTTGAAGGAGATTAAGTGGTATAAACAACAGAGCGCAGCACTTGCAATCAGGAAGATTTGATTTCAAATACTGTCTCAGACAATTACCAGCTATGTGACCATAAGTTAAGTAACTTAATCTCTGTCCGCCTCAGTTTTCTCAAC